AAATTTTTTGGTTGGAGCATGAAAACAAGTAGTGAAATTCATCTCCAATTTCATTTGATTGACAGAAGGTACAAAACCGATCTTCGTATGGTGTTTTATTATATCTGCCAGATTCAACCGGTAGTTTGTTTTTATTTATTTAAAAATTCGCCCTATTTACATAATTAAGATAGAAGATACAGTATAACGTCAGTTGAATACTAGAACTAGGAGCCTTTAAGAAACTTTAAAAAGCTTTTAGTACAAGGCCCCTATTACAGCAAATAATTCAAAGGATAGCCATATGTCAGCTAATATATAGTATAGTTAAAGTAAGTTGTGATATAGTTTTACAATAATATAGATATACAACAATACGAAGTTAGAATAATGCTGTTATTATTATTCTTGTATTTGATAATAAATTTTAGCTTGTTTTTTGAACGATTGGTACAATTTAATGGATTTTAAATCTTCGTTCAAATTATTCTAAATTTTTACTCCTTTATTGGAGAGAGTATGCTTCATGTAATTAGTTAGGGTGTATTTTTTATGTAGTTTTTTTGGAACTTCTAGTATTGTGTGATGATGAATTTCATTATTAGTTTTGAAAAAATTGTTGAAAATTTCGGGCATACCTTAATTTGTCGAATGACAATGAGATCGATCTTTTTGCAACTATATATGCAGGGCAATCGTATCCAACCGTACAAAATTAATATAATTTATCACTAAACTGCATGGTTCATAAAGCCAATAAAATAAAATCCAACTGACCTTATTAATATATATATATATATATATATATATATATATATATATATATATATATATATATATATATATATATATATATATATATATATATATATATATATATATATATATATATATATATATATATTATTATTATTATTATTATTATTATTATAAATTTCCAAACTAGCAGTAACAACTGAATTACTTTGGAATTACAGGGTATAAGAACATAGGTATTTAATCTATTCTATATTTACAGGTAAAAATAGGTAAGTTAGATAAAATAACGATAATAATCTAAAGTTTACTTATTATTATAAGCACGAGACGCAGCAGGAATGAAACTGTTCGAAAAACGTTCAGTTCTACACCTAGGTACTAATAAGTTGGGATAAGACCTCAGATTATAAGTTTGAAGACTTTTAGGCGGTACTAAGGCATTCAGTTTATGAGTGGGTTCCAACATCTTCGAGAAAAGTCGCTTGCAATGGACAGTTCTACGTTCGTAAAGAGTCATCAAGTTAGCTTTAAGCAAACATTCAGCATAGATAGTTCCAGGGAAAATAATTTTTAATGCCCTTTTTTGTATTTTTTCAACTTGGTCACTCAGGTAATGAGGAAGGCCATAATGCCACACCTGACAAGCATATTCGACAATTGGTCGAATATGTGTACAATAGGTTGAGATCAGAATATGAGAAGGTAAAGCATTTCTTTTAAGAAGGCGCAGACCGTACAAACGCTTCGCGGCTTTCTTACAAATGTAGTCAATATGGCAGTTCCATTTGAGGTCGTCCGAAAGGACAACGCCCAATAGTTTGGCCTCGGAAACGACGTCGACCTCTTGACCGCGAATGGTAATAGGGGCAAACGATGGAGTAAGCTTAGAAAAGGAGACACGCAATTATTTGGTCTTTGATACGTTGAACTTTATATTATTGTCTGATGACCATTTAGAGCAGCTGATGATGTTAGCGGGTAACTGGGAACGGGAATTGTTTGATATTATTTCCCAAAGGCTAGTATCATCGACAAATTTAACAGTTTCATTCGCTACAGCCAAGTCATTTATCATGATCAAAAATAATAGCGGGCCAAGCTTCGTTCCTTGTGGGACGCCGGCGTTTAAAAACTACCACTCAGAAAAGAACTGACCAACACGGGTTCTTTGTTGTCTGCCTGTTAGGAAGTTTGCGATCCAGTTGAGAAACACCGGATGAATTTCCATGTCTTTCAATTTTTCCAACAGAATGTTATGATCTAATCTATCAAACGCCTTGGAAAAATCAAGTAAACAAATCCGTATAGTGTTACCTTGTTTGTCAGCTGCTTCAAACCATTTGTGTAGCATGTAGATTAATGCCATACTGGTGCTTGAACCCTTCAGCGAACCAAATTGCAAGGAATCAATTTTTTTTGAGACGGAGTCAAGTAGCCATTTGTAGGGAGAGGATTCAAGAATCTTGCTGATAATTGGTGTGAGGGAAATTGGGCTGAAGTCAGAATCAACATCTTTAGGAGGCGAAGATTTTTGAACTGGTGTAATATTTGCTGCCTTCCATATTGAGGGAACAAATCCTACAATAGAACAAAAATAGAACACAAAGGTCGACACAACACTGAAGCGTTTTCCCGGAGAAGCCAAGAAGGAATTTCATCGGGACCAGCAGACGAATGAAGTTTAGATGATAATAGGGCGTTTTCAGTCTCCTCGACAGCGATGCAGAAATCATCTGGAATGTCATTTGTGGGAAGGGGGGGGGGGCAGTTTAGATTGGATAAGGAGGACCCTACAGCAACGAACTTGTCGTTGAGCAAATTTGCTAAATCGGCATCAGAGTAGGATTTACCTTGGAACATCATTGTAGATACATTCTTAGAAGACTGAAGACCGGCAATATTCTTCACCGCTGACCACCATTTACGAGAATCGGACTGTTGAACGCACGCGATACTTTTATTGTAGTAATTTAGTCGTGCCTTCTTGCAAAGTGCATTGACTTTGTTTCGATAGAATCTGAACATCAGGTTATTGCCAGCCGCCCATGCTGTCTGCCGCTTGGAAATGATATTTCGGAAGTAATCCAGGGCTTGTCACTAGAATCAATTTTGATTTGTTTCCAAGGCAAATGTTCGTTTATGATATTATCTACGATGGTGGAAAAATACTGGAACTGCTCGTCACAAGATTCCATATGGTGCAAAGGTAACCAATTAACTTTGGACAGATGATCGCTAACAATTCGACGATTGGTTGGGCGAGAGTCTCGTACTAAACGTGTAGACCTTGTGCCACCATAAGAGTTAGCTGAAAGAGGTTTAAGAACGATGGAATTATGATCGGAATGTCCAATTGGAGAAATTACCAGGGCAGAATTATAAAATTTAGAAATGTTGGTAAATATTTTATCTAAAATATTCTTTCCTCTAGTAGCGTCTTTGACTAACTGCTTGAGGTTAAAGGAACTGCATAACTGGCGATGTTTAAATTGGTTAAAATCTCCGGCCAAAATAATTCCTGCACCGGGATTGGTGGAAAGGACAGAATCAATTGATTCGGTAAGGTGTGAAAGAAGGGCTTTATCGTCACTTCCAGGTGGATGGTACACGACTCCCAATACAATTGAATTTAAACCACGAGGCAAGCGGTGAGGTTTTAAGAGTAACCAAAGCGACTCATATTCGTGACTTTAAATCTCTTTAAGATGAATGAAAGGAAGCATGTCCTTTACAAAGACACAGACTCCACCTCCTCGTCTGCCGTCAGAACGATCATGCCTCAGTAAGGAGTAACCGCATAAATCAATTGCTGAATTGGGAACATTTGAAGAAAGCCACGTTTCGGTAACAACGACAATGTCTGATGTATAGGATTTTACTGTAGCAGACAGTTCGTCAATCTTGCTGATCAGCGATCTTGAATTAGAAATAAATAAACTCGGTAGAGAAGAGAGTAAGGGCGTTTTTTTGGTTTGGTGGCCACTAATGTAAATTAAATTATTTCTACGGTTGAAACTTTTCCCTGACGGGTAATAACTTGAACGGGTCACTCTCGTATGACGATGGGAAACTCGGACGGGGATAGTATAGGACGGCAATGTTACATTCTGGTTATCCGGTTGACCAGATCTAAATGTCTGTACCAATCCGGAACACGGTGGTACGAACGCCGTATCCGAAAATTTTGATGTGCTACTCCTCTTGGGGGAGTAACAGGTGTACGCATCAGAAGGGAATGAATACCCTTTTGCGATCGTGGGGATTTCGCGAGTCCATTCTGTAATTTCTTAAAATGAGTTTTTCCTTGTTTGTTCGCTTTGCCTTTTATTTCATCATGTTGGTTTAGCTGTTTAGGAAACTGCTCAATCAAAGGGGGTCGACTTATCCAATCAGAATAACTTAGTTTATGGTGTTTATCGTAGTGTTTACTTGGCTTGCCGACGTAATGCGTGATTCCTTCTGGATTAAGTAATTTCGATTTAGTGTATGCTTGGTTGATTTAGGCCCTTTATGTGATAGGCTATCATTTTCGCTCGGTTGAGAACATTCAGTTGGACTTCGCAATAAGGCAGCACATTGATTGTCAATAACAGGTATGTGACACTCGGCATTGTTACAACTAATTTCTCGATTATTCTCTGCCATAAAAGAAACATTGGTACCGCTAATATCTGGTGCGGGCACTAAATTTGGTTCTTTCTGAAGAGAAGCGTAGGTGTCTTTTAACTCGGCAACTAGAAGATCGTTAAATGAGCGGTTATTGTTATCTTGATGTTCGGTTTGGCTTTGTTTAGAAATTGCCAACTTTGTACGATATGAATTATAATTAAAGGAGACAGACTTCTCATCAATGTGGTTAGGTTTAATATTGTTCGTTGTCTCCAAATTTATGCACGTATTTGAGGCTCGTAGTTGGTCATTAATCTTTTCAACAGTACTAATTTTACCCTGAAGGGAAGTTATTATTTCATTCAGTTCCTCAACCTCAATATTTCGTTCTGTTACTAGCAAAGTAAGATCAGATTGAATGCGATTACTTTTTTCTTTTTCACAAGAGAGATCATGTTTAAGTTGGTTTATATTTGAGTGCCCGTCTACAAATTTGCTAATAATGGAGTCTAACTTATTCTCAAAATTCGTTTGCATGATAACTAATTCCAATTTTACCCCTTCCAGTTCGGCGGCCAAAACTCTACAGTTACAACCACAATCATTACTCAGTGCGATCTATGTATAGATTAGGCAAATGTAATATGTAATAGATTATGCAAACCTGTACTGATTGTATGGGGTAAGACTGACAATGGATCTCCGATATCAATTCAAACGTCTTCAATTATAAATGCGTATGATGAAATTATATCATGGAAAAAGAATGTGTTCTTGCCCCCTTATGGGAAAATAGGACGATAATTTATCGACCAATTGACAATGCATATTAATCAATGGAATAATAAATCAGACAACCAACATATTGCGCTGAAAACCTTTTTTGTATTGCTTGCTGTCGGGCTGCAAAAGTGGGGACCAAAGTCTAAAGCAAAAGACCACAAAGAATGCTTAAAGAAACGTTTGGCGTCATGGAAAAGTGGAGAAATCGATAAACTGTTGCACGAAGGAAGAGTGATTCAAAGTCGTATTGGAAAAGGAAGGAAATCTGAACCACAAAACAAAGCAAAAATATTTGCAAAACTTGTTATGGAAGGTCAGATAAACTCAGCAATGCGCTTTCTGAACGATGATAGTTCGGTAGGGATTCTATCGCTAACAGATGATGCAATGCAACAGTTACGAGAGAAACACCCAGAAGCACAGCCAGCAAAATCGAGAGTCCTACTTCGAGGACCAGTTCAAGATATACCAGAGAGTATATACCTCACAATAAATGGAGAAATGATACGAGACGCAGCTCTGAGGACAAAAGGATCAGGGGGGGCATCTGCTGTTGATGCAAATGGTTTAGTAAAATTATTTAAGCATTCGTCAGTAGCGCTTTGTAATGCGTTAGCAACATTGGCACGGAGCCTTTGTGCGGAATATGTTGACCCATCGTCAATAGAATCTTTAGTTGCAAGTCGCCTTATTCCCTTAGATAAAGGTGGAGGTGGAGTTCGACCCATTGGAGTTGGAGAAGTGGTACGAAGAGTAATCAGCAAAAGCGTAATGAATGTTGTCAAACCCGATGTAATGAGTGCAAGTCGTTCACTTCAGCTATGTGCTGGTCAACCTTCCGGAAGTGAAGCTGCAATTCACGCCATGCGCAACATTTTCGATGAAGATGACACTGAAGCGATCCTACTCATTGATGCGTCCAATGCATTTAATTCCCTAAATAGAACAGCCGCTCTCAACAACATAAGGATCGTATGCCCGATGGTTGCGACCTATGCGATAAACACGTATAGACTGCCAACGAGATTGTTTGTCCTTGGTGGTCAGGAAATGAAATCATCGGAAGGTACAACGCAAGGCGATCCATTGTCTATGGCTCTATACGCGATCAGTCTGCAACCACTTATTACACGCTTACACATCACGTCTTCTACAAAGCAATGCTGGTTTTCTGACGACGCTAGTGGAGCAGGGACCGGAATACAGCTGAAGAAATGGTGAGATACATTGATAGAAGATGGTCCTGAATACGGTTACCACCCCAAAGATGACAAGTGTTGGTTGATTACAAAACCGGAGAAAGAAGAGATTATAAGAGAAATATTTAAAGAAACAGAGATAAATATCACGACAGAAGGAAAAAGGCATTTAGGAGCAGTTGTTGGTTCAAGGTCATACCTGAACGAATATGTCAACGAAAAGGTGGAAGAATGGGTGAAAGAGATAATCAATTTGGCTGATTTTGCAACAACACAGCCTCAAGCAAGCTATGCAGTTTACACTTTTGGGCTGAAACATCGATGGACGTACTTCCTTCGAACATTACCTGATATTCAAGATCTGTTGCAACCATTAGAAGAAGTGATTACAAAATTCCTCCTGCCAGCTTTGATTGATCACAAATGTTCCCCACTAGAGCGCGAAATGCTAGCCTTACATGTTAAAAAAGGTGGTATTGGGGTCACAAATCCATGCATTGAAGCAACATTGGAATATTCGGTATCAAGAAAGGTAACAACACTATTGGTAGAACAAATTCAAGAGCAAATACACGAACTTCCTGATGATTCAGGAGTACATGAGCTGAAGCAAATGGCACGAAAAGAGAAGAACGATACTTTAAATGTAATGGCTAAACCCGTCGTTGACTCGGCACCACCGAAGATGAAACGAATGATAGAGCTTGCCTCAGAGAAAGGAGCCTCCTCCTGGTTAACAGTCGTCCCTGTATCCGAGATGGACCTTCATTTAAACAAGCGGGAGTTTAGAGATGCATTGAATTTGAGATATGATTGGCCGTTCAAAGATAATCCAACAAGATGTGCATGTGGAGATCTTTTCAATATCGACCATGCTATGATATGTAAGAAAGGAGGTTTTATCATTCAACTCCATAACGAATTACGAGATCTGGAAGCTGAGCTGTTGAATATTGTCTGTAACGATGTCCAAATTGAACCAGCTCTGCAAGAAGTAAATGGTGAAGTGCTAAACTCAGGATCAAACAAATCACAAGATGCCAGATTGGATGTTCATGCACGTGGCTTTTGGGAAAGACAAAGATCCGCATTCTTCGATGTCCGGGTATGCCACCCAAATGCGGAATATTATAAAGAGTTAACCCCAAAGCAGATTTATCGTATGCATGAAAATGACAAGAAACGAATGTATAACCAACGAGTTACTGATATAGAACAAGGAACATTCACGCCGTTAATTTTTACAACAACTGGTGGTATGGGTGAAGAATGCAAGAAATATCACAGTCGATTAGCAGAATTAATTGCCATAAAGAAGGGAGAAAAGTATTCAAAAACAATGGCTTGGATAAGAGCAAAGATATCATTTTCGATCATTATAGATCTGCTCTCCTATGCCTTCGAGGATCGAGAATAACGAGAAAGAAACAATGAATGTTAAAGTGATACAGACATAGATATTGAGACAGAAATTGCCAGAATATACTAGTAGTTAAACAT